TGGGATGCCGTCTCCTCCTTTTGCGAAGCAGTCATGCTAGCTAAGGAGGAGGCGGGACGCGTGAGGCAGCGAAGCGCTGCCTCCTCGCAACCCAGCCATCGCGAAGGACACACCGGGCGTCGGGGATCGCGGGACGATCTCCGGCCACCGTAAGCGCGGGCCTGCGGACGGCGAGCATGGGTGGCTCCCCGTCCGACCAGAAACAGACCCGAGCGTACGGCGCGTCGCGTTCCGCGCGCGCCTCAAAGAGCCATCAGACCACCACAGATGGGGCCCAATAGGGCCGATGCCGATTCGGAGTCGCGGAGAACCTAACGGGTAACCGGGGCTCCGGCTCGACGTGCAGGAGAAGGAACGGGGTGGTTTTTAGTCAGTAAGAGTCTGACACTCCCTCCCGCCTCACCCAGGCGGGAGCAGTCATTCGATGACTTCCCCCCTTAAAAAAAAAAAACTCCCACTGGGCCCACTCGACCGGAGTGATACCACCTGTTGTATCTATATTGTAACTACTACTATATCGTACATGTGTTTGTGACGCGCGCCGCATCCCCCCACCTCAGTTCAGTCGCAAATAAACAGTCTTCAAGCAAACACGCATTTTAAATCATATAATTCCTGCTAAGCAAACAGCAACCTTAATACCATAAACACCACCAACGAACAGTACACCATAGTGAAACAACACTTGAGCCCCAAGACGAGGTTACCCCCGTCCCCAATCCCTGAATCCCAACGATCCTCAAACTCCTAATTCCCCAAAAGGCCGGTAACGCACTTGTAACGCCTCTGGTGTTCCGGGTGTACATGGGCGACGCCGATTGCTTACCATCAGGTGATCCATATGCTCGTTTATCGGCTTATGCAATAAAACAAATCTTGACTATTTCATTTTTTCGAACCACAGATTACATTTTCCCGCTACGCGATGACGTTTCGTTTTTTTTTTGTCTATGCTTCTAACAATATATCAAATAAAATATATTGTTTATATTTGCAGAACGGAAGGAGAGAGTTCACAAGAGAGACGGACGGAGTTGACGCAGACTAACGATGCCATACGGCTGCATCCGCACTTCCAGGTATATTTTTATTATTTTTTTTTTCATTTATTTCAATTAGACCAGAAAGGCACTTTTGAACGTCAACAATAAAATTAAAAGTGAAGCTATTTACTCATTCCAAGGTGTAGATTCCTATGTAGAAGAACGAGCAAGAAACTCCATAGGTTACTCTTTTTCAATCAGATTCACAAAACAATTCTCTATACTCGGAATTTTAATTCGATTCCAGATTTGACAATTTCAGTGTTGCAACGTTATGACAAGTACTAAATAGTGACGTTGCGAAATTATTCGATATGGAAATGCAATATTTTTGGATCGATTCTTCTCGTTTATAATTTACTCCCGTAAACTAAGTATATCAGAAAATTAAATATTTCTGAACCGATAATTTAGTTTTGACAATTAATTAACGATCTGAGAATTTTCATTTACAATTGTGTGTGAAATAAATAAAGAAATGTAATCATGAAATGTCTTATGGTAATAAGTTATTTTATAAATTGTCGCCGTCATCGCTATCGCTATCCTGTCCCTTTCTGTAACATTTATTATAAAACACACACACTGATTGTTTATCGATTTTCGTGTTCATCACTACACTATTATATGTGGTATCATTATTTCACAAAATGACAGTAGCTATTGTCAAATCTGGAATCTAATTAAAATTCTGACTATAGTATTTGTAGACACAATTATAGAACAATAGGTTGCGGTCACCGGTGACCGCTTGGTGTTTGACAGTTTAAAATTCTGACTATAGTTACATAGTTTTGCTGTTTGGATTGTGCGAGAACAATATATCACTAAAATCTAGTCAAAGTTATCGAAAAAGAAAATAACCTTAAAGACAATAAATAATACAGTCTGGAGCTGACCAGTCCCAGTTGACGGCGCCCGTTCACGAACATGACACGTACACCAGCACCGCCCAACTCAACCATATTGTAGGGCATCGAGCGATCCACTGCACGCGCCACTGCCAATGAGACTTTTGAGTGAGCATGACAAATTGGCAACTCCAAGCTGACGCAAATGAATTCTACTAGTCTAATTTAACTCGTCGAGTACCGGTTTTGCAGACACAATTATAGAACAATAGGTTGCGGTCACCGGTGACCGCTTGGTATTTGACAGTTTAATATTAAGTTCATTACAGGGCTCTCACATTAACAATGGGTTATCTAAGATTACTATTATTAAACAGTTTTATTCAGCTTGCCCCGTTTGTTTGTTTGAGTCTCTAGTAAGTAGTAATTGTAATGTCCCCCCCCCCTTCCTGACGACAGATCGATCTGATATTTGGTACACACTCTTAATCTTGATGACCGTACAATATAATCTAATTGTTTCCACAACTACCTCCATTATGGATATCAAACGAAACGGCTTGATTTGTAGAATAGAGCATAAAAAATATATATTACTTGTTTATCTATAAATTGTCTGCGGCGACACTTGGCCTTTAGCCAAACGCCACTTTAGCGCTTGTCTACAGAGAGAGTAGAAATCAAAATGTATGGGGATGACATTGACAAGTGTCAAAATTTACGTCAATTCCATATAATTTGGTTTTCTATTCTACAAGTAGACAAGCGCTAAATGACATTTGGATACAGCTGCATGTTACATGTCAAATGACAATTCACGGACGTAGACTATCAATGAAACAAATCAACGGATGACGTCACAAAGTCCTACATCGCACTTGTGAATTAACACGGGTACACAATCCCAACGAACAACTGTTGGATAGTCTCGAAGCTGATGTTACACGTGCCCCCCTCCAGTCACGCGTGGCACAGTTCGGCTCCAGGGCCGCACAGTCTACCACCTGCAGGTCGCGAGGGTACTGCACGGCCGCGCGCTACTACCGCGGCAGTATTCCGAGACATGGAGAAGGCGTTCGACCGCGTCTGCCACGCCGGCCTGCTTTTAATTTAAATATTTTGTTGTTGACGTCCAAAAGTGCCTTCCTGGTCTAATTGAAATAAATGATTTTGACTTTGACTTTGTACTTTAGCGCGACTTAAAATTGTTACGTTGGGTATTTCGATAATAGTAACTGTGAATGGAATGTATGTAATTTGTATGTCCCCCCGCAGGTGGTGTGTGGCGGCGAGCTCCGCGCGCTACTACTGCGCGGCGCGACGTTGCCCGCGCCCGCCGCGCTCCCACCGCCCTCGGCGCGCGTGCATACACAGGTACATTACTGGCTAATATTGTCTACTACTGGTACAGGTACATTCTGTACCGCCCGCGCTACTACTGCGCGGCGCGACGTTGCCCGCGCCCGCCGCGCTCCCACCGCCCTCGGCGCGCGTGCATACACAG